AAAGACAGTTGTTAGCTGCCATGTGAGTGCTGGGAATCGAACCTGGGTCCTCTGCAAGAACAACTAGTGCTCTTAACAACTGCACTATTTCTCTAGACCCTCATTATGACATTAAAAAAAAATTTATTGTGGAAATGTAGGGATGGAGGGTGGGCATGTGCATGGAAGTCTGAGAACAACCTCTATGAGTCAGGTCTTTCCTTGTATATAGGTCCTGGGGATTGAGTCCAGGTCTTCAGGATTGGTAGCAAGCACCTTTATCTGCTGAGTCATCTCACTGGCCTTCATTATGGCATTTTCATACATACATGATTATCTGTTTTTGCTCACATCCCACTGCACTACCACTTCTTAGCTAGTCCCCTTCCTCCTCCCTCTGCTTTCACGTCACATACATTCCATTACTTTCTCGTCTGTGTGTGTGTGTGTGTGTGTTGTGTGTGTGTGTGTATTTATATTCACACCCTCTTCACACATACTAACTTAAATCTAGATTCTGTACCAGGTGTGGTGGCGCATACCTTTAATCCCAGCACTCGGGGGGGTAGCGATGGGACCTCTGAGTTTGAGGCCAGCCTGGTCTACATATCGAGTTCTGGGTCAGTTGGGGCTACAGAGAGACCCTGTCTCAAAAAGACCAAAAAAAAAAAAAAAAAAAAAAAAATCTAGATTCTGTATATGAGAGGAAATGTGCTGTTTGTCTTTCTGAGTGAGTTATTTCATAATGATTTCCAGTCCCATCCATTGTCCTGCAAATGTCATAATTTTTAATTTTATATGTATGACTGTTTTGCTTGCATGTAAGTATACCATGTGCATACAGTGCCTGAGGAGGCCAGGAGAGGGTGTTGGATCCCCCTGGAACTGGAGTTATGGACATTTGTTAGCCAGGTGGGTGCTGGGAACCGAATCCTGGTCCTCTGTAAGAGCAGCCAGTGCTCTTAACCGTTGAGCCATCTCTCCAGCCCCAAATGTCATAATTTCATTCCAAACCTGGGAACTTAGAGGAGGCCTTTTAAGTGACTGCTAGAAGAACCTCTCAAGAGCTGCAGGTGAGTTCTCAACAGGAAGCTCTCCAAGGAACTGCAGGAGTCATCCTGTGGGGAAAAAGAGTCAGCTTTAAATGTGTGCCCGTTCAGAAAACACCAAAACCTAATTAGAATAATATCACAACAGAAAGCAGAGCTTTTCTTTGCCTCTTCTTTTTCCTAGCTTTGAACCTGGAAAACGAAAACAAACAAGCAGATTGGGGGCTGGGAAATAAGGGAGACACACATACCCTCCCTACCACCATGGGCTTCTAGGCAGAAAGCAGACCCCATGCTCCCTCTAAGGGAAGGAGAGGAGGTTTTGAGGGGTTGTTTTATCACCCCCTCAAATTGAAATTGCAGATAAAAACATGCACACCTCCTAAGTGTGCATCTTGAAGAAATTTTACAGTGTGAACACATCAAGATCAAGAAACAGTATCGGCTGCACCCCTTCCTAATCTCTAGCTGCCCACCTCCCCAGGGGAATAGTAATCCAAGATAAGATTTTTTTTTATTTGAATTATAAAAGCAAGTTGACTTTCTGTTACTTTACTTTTTTTGATTAAAAAATCATAGTTGAAATAATTTCAAAACTACAGAAAAACTACATCATAGTACAAAAACCTTCCCATCCCCTTAACCCTTATTACTAATTGCTAGTATTTTACGTTTAATGGAAGAATGTTATTAACTTACTGTGGTAGGTTTCTGGGAAGGAAGAAGGGAAATGAATTTGGTGAAAGGTGTAAAGGGACTTCAGTTTTATGGTGCTTTATCACTTTATGAGGAATGGCAAAATATCCTTTTTTCATTGTAAGTAGTGGGTTTATCTCTGTGCCTTTCTGTGTGTTTGAAATTTTTAAAAATTCTTCCAAAAAGAAATTTTGAGTTTTCTCCCTTGGGAAGTGGGGAACTGCTCAAGTGTGATTTCTCATTGTTGAGATCAATATGTCCTTATGACTTCTTTGCTCTGTCCCTGTGTATGAATTAAGACATTGAAGCAAGCAGTAAGGCTGATTCACCTTAGCCTCATTGTTCTCTCCCTCTCTTTCTTATTACCTCTCACTGCTAAGTGCCCAGTGGTGTCTGACATGGTAAGATTAAAAGTTGTACTTTCCTAATAGATGCAACTCTCTTCCTGATTTGCAGTAAGCAGGACCTACTTTCAAGCAATTACCCATCATTTGGGGCCATCAGACATACAGTGCTTTGATTCAGGTCATAATCAATAATTCATATGTCAATAGGAGAGCCATTAGCTCAGGTGAAGGCAGATGTCTTTCTAATGAAAATGTTCCATTTTCCAAATGACTTTTCTTTTTCTCAGAGAGTTGTGGTTATAGAAGACATAAAAAGATGGAAAGCTATGTTGGAGCTTCCTGATCAAACCAAAGAAAATCTACTTGAAGCTTTACAAGAATTAAAGAAGAAAATACCCTCCAGGGAGGTGTTAAGATCAACGAGGATAGGTATGCCTCTGGACTTTCTGAGAAGTACCTCTAGTTTGTCTCCTTTCTTTCTCTTTCAAGTCTTTGAGTTCTCTGATCCATCAGTGCTTTTCATGCTGTCTCTGGGAGCGGATAGTTGTTTACAATAGTTTCTACTTGCTGAAAGCCAATATTTTTCTAATATGCAGTAAAAAAAATCCAGAAAAATGAAGTGAAAATATACAAAACACAATTCTTGATCCTTTCTAAACAATTTTTTAAAATTGTACTTATTTATTCTGTGGTAGAAGTCAGAGGACAACTTAGTGGGAGTTGATTCTCTCTACCATGTGGGTCCGGGCTTGGTGTCAAGTGTCTTTACCCCCAAGTCATCTTGCTGTCCCCATCCCCAACCTTTTGATGTAATTCATCAGTACAGAATCACTCTGTCCAATTGCTATAAAAATTTTTAAAGACCTGTGTTCAGTTTCTGTGTTCAGTCTGTTTTCCATATAGGCTGATAGCTACAATGATCTGTGGAATCTGTCGATGACATTTTGAGTGTGCTAGATGCTGAGTGTTCAGAAATGATTCTGACTTCAGGGAGTGGAAGGTTTGGTAGGAGAGGTAATGATGCTGACAAACAGGAACAGTGCAGCACTACTGTACGTTCCATTCTAATCTGGAAAATCTGTTTGTGGTCATGAAGGACAGAGCCATTGCCAAAATTTGGAGGCTTCAGAAAAGGCTTCATAGAGGAGATGGCATTTCAGTTAAATTTTGAAGAAACTCAGCTTATCTGTCTTCAGTGGCAATAACTTTTGAAGCCTGGTTTATAAAACATTTTCCACTGTCATTTATTGTAGCTTTGGAGATATTTCCAAGGTAAATGAGGGACCACATTGAATTGCCATTTTAACACAGCACACAACTGTGGCTAATATACAAGGGAGGAACAACATGTGTTCCTCAAGCTGCTCTCAATTCCCTGGGGAGTCCAGGGCAGTCTTCCGCAGCTGCTGCTCCTGCTCTCAGCTAGTGCAGCCATTGCCTCCTCTGCCTCCCCTTGACCTCCTGTTCTGAGAAGCAGGGGCAAGAGCAGTTTCACAGTGGCACTAACAGCTGGGAAGAGCTGGGAGGAATCCCCAGGGAGTCCCCCAAGAGTTTTAGAGTTGCACCCCTGTAATATAAACCAGAATCTGAGAAAATTAGATGCTTAAAGAACATAAGACCCTATCATTATAGCCAAGAAGATGCTCCTGTCTGCTGTGGGATTTTCTGTCTTTATAGGTTGTGGTCACTAGAGGGCGATAAGACCATTCACTGGAGCACATGATATTTTCACCAGTAGAGGGTACTAGTGATTAATATTTTATGACTTGTATGTTATACATGTATGTATGTGTATCATCCTATTTAGACACATACTATAAATGCCATATAATCAAGTGAAGATTTCATTTGGATCCTTGCCTGGGAATGTTTATACTCTCCAGCCTTTAGCCTTCATGCTTGGCCCTATCCTGTGGGATATAAAGCACAAATATTTGTTGAGTATCTTCTTTGTCCTGGGAACCATGCTGGTATAATAACACTGGAGGCAGGTATTACCCTCTTCTTTATGGATCTTTAAGTCTGATGGAAAGCAGGTCAATAAGACTTTGTCATGTGGTATGATAAAGTGCTCTGGTGATAGGGAGAAGTTAGTCAAATGTAAGTGGGGGAAAAGGTGTTGAAGAATGTGTCAGGCAGGGGATACATCATGGAAGCTGTGAGAGAGTGGAGGTGGGAGAGAGAACATGGTTGCATTCCAGAAACTCAGTTGTTAGGTATATTTGAAATGTAACATGCCAGAGAGACTGGCAAGAAAGTGTGGCTGGAGAGACAGTCTGGACCTGTGGAAAAAGCTTTTTTGTAAGCTATTCAGAACTGTTTGATTTTTGCCAATATATTATCCATTACTATATTAAAATTACCATAAAATTTAGCTGCTTAAGAAAGTATTAATTTACAATTTTTCTGAGGGTCAGTAATTCAGGATCCAGCTTAGCTGGGTGGTTCTAGCTCAGGGTGTGTTTTGCTTTGCTTTATTTTGTTTTAGACTGGGTCTCATATAACCCTGACTGGCCTTAACTTGCTGTGTAGTTGAAGATGACCTTAAACTCCTGATCCTCCTGCCTCATTTCTCAAGTGCTGTGGTTAGGGGTGTGTACCACCATGCCTGGCTATTAAGGTGTCCTTTAAGAAGCAGCCATCAGACTGTTGGCTGGGGCTGTAGTCATCTAAGGGGTTTGAGGATCTGTTTTCAAGATGGCATATTTTATAGGATTGCTTATAGAGGGCCTCAGTTCCTCATCACCTGGCCCTGTCCTTAAGGCTGCTCACTATGGAAACTGACTTTTCCCAGAGCAAATGATCCAGGAAAGGGCAAGAAAGTAAGACAATGACCAGAATGGAAGCCATATTTGGTGTTTATTTGTTTTTAGAGACAGTCTCATTACATTGCCCATATTGCTCTGGAACTTACTATATAAGCCTAGGTTGGCCTCAAACTTGTGATACTCCTGCCTCAGGCTCCCAAATGGTAGGATTATAGGCATGTGTCACTCTGCTTGGTTTCCATAGTTTTTTTTATAGCTCAATCTCAGAAGTGACACATTATCATTTCCATTGTGTTCTGTTGATGTCTATATTGAACTAATCTTGGTATACTCTGAATTGGCCACTACACAAGGTGTGGATGCTGGAGATGAGACTCACCAGGAGCTGTCCTGGATACTAGTTACCACATGTGTTTCTTTATTTATCCTACATCTATTTTGGAGTCCTACCAGTTCATGTTTAGTTGTTGAAAATTTACCACCATTCTCACTTCAAAGATGCCACTTTTATTTCAACTACTTCCTGGGATTCTATACTTAGAACTATGTTAAACCTGCTATTTGCCATATTTTTTAATTTATTTGTCATATTCTTTATCTCCTTGTCTCATTCAGCATTTTAGGTAGTTTCTTCAGATATGTATCTTCCATACCATTAATTCTCTCTTTTGTTGACTCTAACTCCTTCACTGAGTTCCTCATTTCAAAACCTTTTTCATTTTTGCATATCTCCCCTTTCTTGTAGGTCTACTCTTGTGCATAGTATTTTTACAATCCGTTGTAATGCCTTTCATTTCATTAAACATTTAACATTAGCTCTTCTATATCCTTCACCTGACTGTTCAGATATTTGTAGTGCTTGGGATTTAACTCTTTTGCTTCTGCTGACTCTCGTGATGTTTGTGGATTTTTAGACTTGTAAGTTTACTCCTTTGTCTATAGGAATTTTAAAAATATTTTATTTATTATTTTTATTTTATGTGTATGCGTGTATTGCCTGCATGTAAGTAAGTGCACCCATGTCATGCAATGCCCATGGAAGACAGAAGAGACTGGGATCCCCTGGAACTGGAGTTCCGGACTGTTGTTAGCCGTCATGTGGGTGCTGGGATTCATACCCAGGTCTTTTGCAAGAACAACCAGTGTTCTTAACTGCTGAGCCATCTCTCCAGCCCCATCTATGGAAATTTTATGGAGCTGAACAGGAGAGGCTTCCCTCTAAAGAGGATTTGCTTCTTTGTTTTTGCAGGGGGGGCGTGCATCTCTGGCCTAGAATATTTTAACACATTTCTCAAGGCTCCTACTTTAGTGTGGCAACACCAGGATTGCCTCTCACACCTTAACATTGGACCAAAGTAAATGTTTCAGTAGCATTGCTGGTATCAGCTCTTAGGATAGCCTGCCTGTCCTCTCTTCTAGCTCTTTTCCCTTTGTGGTTGTTGGAAAGGAGGTAGCTTTTAGCCAGGATCATACTTCAGTGAAGGGAATCTTTGGTCCACTATAAAGCCTGAGCTTGTGCTTTGTCTTAAAGATAACAGTGTTATTATTGAGGATGACCTTGAACTCCTGATCAAACAAACACCAAACCATGGCTTCCATGTTGGTTGTTCTCTTACTTTCTTGCCCTTTCCTGGATTATTTGCTTGGGAGAAAGTCAGTTGCTATCGTGAGCAGCCTTAAGGACAAGGCTATGTGATGAGGAACTGAGGCCCTCTATAAGCAATCCTATAACAAATAAAAATAAATGTAAGGAGAATAACATACCCATATTTTCATTTTAGAAAAAAAAATGTATCTGGTTATTATGTGAGAACAATTTTGAAGAAATGCAAGCCTAGAGTAGGAACCACAATTAGGAAGCTACTAATATATCTGAGTAAGACACAAGGATGGCCTGGATGCAGTAGTAGTTATCAGATGCAGGAATGTAGTTGGAGTCAAGAGGTAGGCATGCAGTATAATCCAGAGCACCCAGAGTGGCTGGATGTTGGGAATGATCAAGGAGTGAAGCTTGGCCTCAGCTTCTGAGGTAGGCATGTAGGCGGGTGTAGTACCACTCATTGTAACAGAGAACAGTAGCTTTGGAGGTGAGGGAATAAATAGTAAGCTCAGTTTCAGACTTACAATTGACATACCATAGAACTGCTCAGATGAAATATCCCAAAAGATGTTGGATGCATAGAGCTGAAACAAAAGAAAGATTGCAACCATTTAATTGGGAATCATTTATTATAAGCATATGGCTAGGAATTGAGGAGATGGAAATTGATAAGTCTTCAGGGAAACCACATAAGAGAAGCAAAAAGCCAAGTACAGAATTCTGAAGCATGTTAATATTTAAGGGGTTTATAGAGCAATACTGAGAAAATTGGTCAGAGAAGCAGAATTGAGTGTTGTCACTGGAACAAAAGAGTGTATCCAGGGAGGGGGTCACGGCCAGCAGTGTCCCTGGTTTTCAGGGGCCAAAAGAGCTTAGTCTAAAATAGCACAAAGGATTTTGTCTAATAAAGTCATTAATAATCTTGGGACAGTTTCAGAGGCAAGGTTGGGGCAGAAACTGGAAGAATGAAGAGGGGGTACAGAAATGAATCTGAAAAGAGAAAATTTGAGAAGTTTGGTATTAAAAGAGGTGACAGTATGAGGAAGGGAAAGGAGATCAAA